GTACGGATGCTACAATACCGACCATACGGAACACTGTACGGACAGGTACGGTCGGCGTCGTACAGTGTGGCTGGACAGCTGGGTGGCGACGGAACGGCGATTCGTACTCCGGCGCTGCGGCGGCAAGGCTCCGACGCGCGACGGTGATGCTCTGGGAGAGAAAAAGGGAGAGAAAGAGAGAGAGGGAGAGAGAGAAAGGGGTCGAACAGAGGCGAGGCTGAGGCTAGGGAGTGAGGTGGTCGACGGCGGGGCACAGTGGCCGGCGGCTTGCTTCGACAAGGCCTAGCCGAGAGAGAATATGAGAGAAAGAGAGTGATCGGGAAGAGAGAGAGAGGTCTGGCCGAGAGTGAGGGTGAGGAGAGAGAGAAACAGATTTAATTTGGTCAAAAATTTTAGGGTCTAGGGTGCCAAGTGTCACAAATCTAGCCCAAAATGACCATTTTGCCCCTCATCCAATGGCCACCATTAAGTCCTATCCAATAATTCAAGGGCATTTTGGTCCTTTGCTACAATAATTAGGATAAGTCCAATTTTAATTAATTTCCTTAATTATCCCCCAAAATTCGAAACCAAAAATAGCCTAGGGGCAAAACCGTCATTTTTCCGGTCCCGAGGCGAAATTCCATTTTTTGCCCGTACCAACCCTCCATGTGCGTGGCCAACATAATGTGGTGTCGGAATCGCGAAAACAGCCCTTTAAGCCTTCGAAAATCGACTGCAAAGTTTCGGGAATAAAATAATATTATTTTTTCAATTTCTGTCGAAATTTCAATTTTTGGCCATAACAACTCCTGGTATGCATGGCCACCCTAAAATGGCGTCGGCCTTGAAAAATAACCTCATTTGGTCTCTAAAAGCAACGCTGGCGTCCCGAGGGGCAAAATCGTAATTTTTCACCCCCGGACCAATTTTCCAATTTTTACTCGTACTAACTCCAAAAGTGTGTGGCCAGCATAATATGACGTCAGATTCCCAAAAATAGTCTCTTAAGCCTTCAAAAATCGGCATCGAAATCCGGGCCCAATTCCGTGAACAAAACTCGCTAAACTTTCAATTTCAGGGTTTCTCACTAACGGGCTGCTGTTTAGAGGTTATGCGTATCGATCAAGGGTTATTCGAGTCGTGACGGTTCTGATCATTGAGAGAATGAGAAATTATCACTAGTTCCAGAAGTTACGATCGTTCGGTTCACGTTCAGGACTGGTGGGCCATGTGTACTTTCGGTCTTGCAGAATCACCTGCGTCCCTATTGTACATCGTAGTTCTTAGCCAAACCCAATCCATTACCCTTTCCTACGATCGGCCCACGTTGGCTCAAAATATTCCCTCAGCGTCTCTCGTGATCGGTGTCCGTTTCACGATAGGGTCCCCGGTCCACGTACCATTTTCTAGTTAACCATACCCCATTGGTTAGTATCCCGAGAGTGATCAGCTCCGGGTGAGACTTACTAAAATGAAATGCGAATTAATATCAGTTTTATTGATCCCGGAATTACATCGAAATTCGGGCTGTTACAATTCTTCCCCCTTACAAAAATTTTGTCCTCGAAATTTGTAGTCTACACTTACTCCTCAAACAAGTAGGGGTGTTGACGTCGCATGGCCTCTTCGCTCTCCCAAGTGGCGCCTTCCGTCCCATGGTATTCCCAGACAACTTTGACCATTGGGATCGTCTTGTTCCTCAACACACGATCTTTTCGGTCCTCGATCCTAACTGGCCTTTCCACGTACGACACCCTGTCGTCCACATCAATCTGTTCGTACCTTAGGACGTGAGTCGGATCTGGTTCGTACTTTCTTAACATCGACACGTGAAAAACATTATGCACTTGGAATAGGTTAGGCGGTAAGGCAAGTCGGTAAGCCATATCACTAATTTTCTCCAATATCTCGAATGGTCCGACATACCTGGGACTGAGTTTCCCTTTCTTGCCGAATCGGGATAATCCCTTCATTGGCGACACCCTGAGAAACACATGATCTCCCACTTGAAATTCCAAGGGTCGTCATCTTCTGTCGGCATAATTCTTTTGGCGACTCTGCACTGTCTTCAGTATGTCCCGAATGATTTCTACAGCTTCAACTGACTGCTGTACTAACTCGAGGCCTGTGATACTTCGCTCACCTACTTCGTCCCAGCACAGGGGCGTCCTACACGCCCTACCATATAACGCTTCGAACGGTGCCATTTGGATACTCTGCTGATAGTTATTATTATAGGAAAATTCTACCAAATGCAGCTGTTCTTCCCATTTGCCTTGAAAGTCCAACACACAGGCTCTCAGCATGTCCTCTAGGATCTGAATCGTTCTTTCCGACTGGCCATCAGTCTGAGGATGATAGGCCGTACTGAACTGCAACTTGGTGCCTAAGGCCTCTTGCAGACTTTTCCAAAAATTAGCTGTAAGCCTCGGGTCTCGATCACATGTGATCGTCACTGGCACTCCATGCAGACGTACTATTTGCCTCACATACAATTCTGCGTACAGTTCCAGGTCAAAGTCCTTTCGCACCGCCAGAAAGTGCGCTAACTTGGTTAAACGATCCACTATGACCCATATTGAATCATGTCCTCTCTGGCTTCGCGGCAGTCCCGATACGAAATCCATCGTAATGTGCTCCCATTTCCACTCAGAAATTTCTAACGGTCTCAATAAGCCACCTGGCTTGCAGTGCTGTGCCTTCACCTGTTGGCACGTCAAACACTTGGCCACATGCTTGGCCACATCCGTCTTCATTCCATTCCACCAATAATGTTGCCGCAAATTCTAATACATTTTCGTGCTGCCTGGATGGATACTATAATTGCTCCTGTGAGCTTCTGATAAAATTTCTTCCTTGAGCTCTGCGTCATCAAGCACACACATTCTTCCTCGGAACTTTAAAATTCCATTCTCACTTACTTGAAAATCTGGCTTTCTTTTAGTAGCGTCTAATCCAACGATCTTTTGGATTTCCTGGTCGATAGATTGAAGCTCCTTGATTCTAGTTTGAATCTCCGGCTCAATTCGTAATGCGGCTAGCAGACTGGACATTTGGCTTACTTCGAACTTGAACTCTGAATCTCTGAGCCTTTCCAATAATGTCCACTCCTTGACCATTAGGTGTGCCATACTAGACTTGCGACTTAAGGCGTCAGCGACTCGATTCGCCTTACCCGGGTGATACAAAATGTCGCAATCATAGTCCTTTAAAAGCTCCATCCATCGGCGCTGCCTCATATTCAACTCTTTCTGCGAAAATAGGTACTTGACGCTTTGATGGTCGGTATAAATCTGGAATTTCTCCCCGCACAAATAGTGTCTCCAGATTTTGAGGGCGAAAACGATTGCAGCTAATTCCAAATCATGCGTCGGATAATTCATCTCATGGGGCCTCAACTGACACGACGCATACGCTACCACTTTTCCATGCTGCATCAGGACACAGCCAAGTCCTCTTAGTGATGCATCACTATAGACTTCAAATCCTCCTGGTCCAGACGGAATGGTCAACAGGGGAGCTGTTGTTAACCTGTGCTTCAGCTCTTGGAAGCCTCTCTCACATTTATCATCCCATACGAACTTAGATTCCTTTTTCAACAATCGCGTCAATGGCATGGCTATCGACGAGAATCCTTCTATAAAACATCGATAATAGCCAGCCAATCCCAAGAAGCTTCGAATTTCTGTTACTGAGGTCGGCCTAGGCCACTTTATTACTGCTTCAATCTTAGCTGGGTCAACAGATATCCCATCTCCGGAAACTATGTGTCCAAGAAACGCCACTCTGTTTAACCAAAACTCGCATTTACTGAACTTGGCGAACAGCTTGTGTTCTCTTAAGGTCCATAGCACTTCTGCCAAGTGTACTTCATGCTCTTCAAGGCTCTTAGAGTACACTAGAATATCATCAATGAAGACTATCACAAACTGGTCCAGGAATTCTTTGAACACCTGATTCATTAAATCCATGAAAGCAACTGGGGCGTTCGTTAGTCCAAAGGGCATAACTGAAAACTCATATTGCCCGTATCTGGTCCTAAAAGCAGTCTTAGGAATATCCTCGTTCCTGATCCTCAGCTGATGATACCCGGTCCTCAAATCTATCTTGGAAAATACTGAGGCTCCTTGCAGCTGATCGAACAAATCATTAATCCTCGGTAGCGGATACTTGTTCTTCACTGTCACTTGATTCAACTACCGGTAATCTATGCACAACCTCAAAGTTCCATCTTTCTTTCTTACAAATAGGACTGGCACTCCCCATGGAGAAGCACTAGGGCGAATGAAACTCTTGTCCAACAATTCCTGAATTTGCACCTTCAACTCCTTCAATTCCAATAGGGACATCCTATATGGTGCCTTTGAAATCGGTTCTGTCCCAGGGGCCAATTCGATCACGAACTCCACCTCTCACTCAGGTGGCAAACTCGGCAATTCCTGAGGAAACACCTCGGGAAAATTGCATACTACGGGTATCTCCTCCAACTTAGGTTACGCCTTTGTCGGATCCACAACATTTACCAGATATCCTTCACATCCATCATCCAACAACTTGCTCACCTCAAGCGAGGAAATCCAAGGGATCGAGGTTCCTCCTCGATTTCCCTGAAATACAAAACTAGGACATCCATCCGGATTAAATTGGATCGTCCTATCGCTACAATCCAATACAGCTTTCGGTCGGACTAACCAGTCCATTCCAATAATCACATCAAAATCGAACATGGCCAATACTGCCAAGTCGATACTATCTTCTCTATCCCCAATCACAATTTTACAGTTGGGACATCCAAAAGAGACTAGCATTTTATCATTCACAGGCGTCGACACGCAAAGCACATTCTCAAGCAACACTGGTTCTATACCAACCAACTTAACAAACTGCTCGGAAATAAAGGAATGGGTCGCCCCCGGATCAAATAATGCATAAGCGGCATGATCACATAAGGAAATCGTACCTGTGATCACGCCCGGCGCATTCTCAGCTTCCTTACGCGCCATGGCATAGACCCGTCCTTAAGCTGGCGGTCGCCCTTGATTAGCCGGTGAGGGAAGTCTGGCTTGATTTCCAATGCGCGATGGCGGTAATCTGGGTGGTCCTGAGGGCTGCAACTGCGAGCAACTGCGAATCTGATGCTCCATACTCCCGCACTTAAAACATGCCCCATATCTACTCAGTTGGGGGCTCGGTTTCCCAAGATTCCGCCTGGCCGGTGGGACAAACCGCCTATTCCCAGTCATAGGTCTCTTTCCCAAACGGCGATTATCTCTGTTTTGGGCAAACCGCGATCTCGAAGCGGCTGCCCTTTCCTGCTGATCCCGCTCCATAATCTGAGCCCGCCTATGCATTTCCCCATAATCCTTGATATCGTGAGACAAAACCAAGCTCCGAAGATCCGGATTCAGTCCATCCCGGAATCTCCGAGCTCTATCCCGCAGATTTTCTACCATGGTCGGTGCAAACTTTGCCAGTCTTGCAAATTCGGCTTCATATTGATCGACAGTCATCTGGCCCTGACGCAATCGCATAAATTCCATCAATTTCTTTTCCTGGGCATTTTCTGAAAAATACTTCTCATAAAAATTCTCCACAAATACCGCCCAAGTCGGGGCCATTCCTTCAGGAAACACTCTGCCCTCCGTGGCATTCCACCAATCATTTGCACCGTCCTGCAGTTGATAAACCGCCAAGGTTACCTTTTCCTCATCGGTGCACTCCAAAACCTTGAAGGTTTTCTCCAATTCTTCCACCCATCTTGGCGCAGTCTCGGGGTCACCGCGACCATGAAATTTAGGCGGCTTCAGCTTTATAAATTGCTCCACTAAATGAGGCATCTGCCTAATCCCTGTTGGTTGAGCCTGCCCTGGATTGGCCTGATTTCCTCCATCACCAGCATTCGGGGCGGCCTCAACTGCCTGAGCATAAGTTGCGGCCCTTTCCTGAGCCTGCAATCCCATAATATGCCCAATTTCCCACAAAGTGTTCATCACTTCATCAAATCTTGGGTCTCTAGCCTCACGGGCTCCCTCGCTAACCTGGGCTTGGGGCTCCTTTCCCCTTCTCCTGCTTGGAGTTTAAATAATGTCCTCTAGTCGGCGGTCTCGGGTCTCTTGGCCTTCTGAACTAGGCTGGCCCTGGGGTTCCTTACCCTTTCTTCTACTCATCCTCACAACTCAGCTATTCCACTACCTGCTATAATTCCATTAAGGAATTAAAGACTTAAACCAATCTATCACAGTCTAAGCCCTAGGCAGGTATCAAAATGACAATCAGACAATCAGCATGCGGCCTAATAAGAGCCAATCAACACATCACCCAAGGAGTTCGCGTACTCACCTCAGGTCCTGCCGCACTTGCACTTTACGGGTCATACCAGTAAGCACTCAATCAAACACAACTGTCAGGAGATGCATGTAGCACACACGGTCACCCTACTGGCTACCCATGGTCTCATCGTCTCTTATCACTCCAGGCTTCGACCAGATTGGACCGAGCTGACCTTGCTCTGATACTAATTCAAACGGGGTTGTCACGCCTCGTACCCCACGAGGTGCGAGCATCCCACCTCCGGTCGTTTGTCATGCCACGTTCCTAGGATGCGTCGCCGACCCAACACCCAATCAGAAATAAGGCACATGCGGAAACAACGTATATAAATATATATATAAATATACACCCGTACAAAAACAACACACGTGAGACCAAGGTAGAACAGCCATCAAACAAGAATATACACTTGTACTATTATAGTACAAACCCTTTTACACTATCCTTTTGAACAACTCCAAAACCTACAAGAGTAACCGCCACTATATCAAAAAGGGTAAGTGGCACTGGGTGGTTAGGCTAACTAGGGTATGAACGCCATTCAAAAGAGACGGTCTTCGCTTCCCAGGGTACCGGCCTGTTCTAGGGCTCCCAGTCAGGGTCTGAGGACTCCGATGAATCGCCCGATGGTTCCTCTGAAGACTCCTCCGACTCCATGGCCTGTGCTCGCTCATCCTCGGCTGCGATCCTCTCGTCCTCCGAATCTAGCTCTAACTCTGGGCCCAGATAAAGACCTAACTCGTCATCTTCCTCAGCTCCTATCTCCATATCGGACCCTACCTCGGCGACCTCTCCAATTTCTTCCTCATCATCTATGTCCATGTCTTCAAGTTCCTCTTCCTCGTCATCGAGCTGATCAGGATCTTCGACGATTACTTGAGGCTCCCCATGCATGGGCTCATCCACGCCGTCTACGTCATACACATCCAGAGGATTGACTATCTCACCATCAACCATTCGTGGAATCATCAATCCATCTTGGTCGACCGGCACATCAAAAGTCCTAAGGGGTTGCCCTAGGTTTTCGTCTGCATCTCGTAAGCACCATGCCACGTACTCCTGGGTCTGATGAAAGTACTCTCCCACGTTTATGAACACCACGGACCGGTATCTTACGTATGATTCCCCATTTGCTGCGGGGTAGTTACTAGTATACTGGTGTATCTATACAGGTATTCCAAAAAGCGGCGGGTTCGGCATCTTTACGGTTGGGGGTCTGAAAAGTTTCGGTTTACACAACTGTGAGACGAATCTCAATGAGTTCAACCCCTAAACCTAGGCTAGGCTAGCATGCAATCTCCTGACCGGAAACAAATATTTGAAATCATAATGCAACAACAATCAAATAATTCTGACCCTGCAGGTTAGGCAGTTCAATATATAATAATCACGGCACGTACGAGGCACACATTATCACACGTATGCCAATCACATGCTCATGCACCGAGTCTCACATGCTCGCATGCCAGTCCATGCATGTTCATGCATGCAAATATCGTCGACATGTCACGTGCATTTCCCGGCCCACTGGCCCACATTGGCAATCGCCCAATTTATTATTTATTACGACTCGAGTCAACAACATTCACGGCCCGGTGCGTCTAGCCTGCTTCAAAGTGCATGAGACGCAGCAACCGATCTGGCCCAGTGTCTCTAGCCTGCTTCAAAGTGCATGAGGCGCAACACTGATCTCCTTACGAATCAGAGCCTGCTTCAAAGTGCATGAGGCGCAACACTGATCTCCTTACGAATCAGAGCCTGCTTCAAAGTGCATGAGGATGGTCGTCTTCCGGACGTATCGGGCATCGTCCTGCTTCAAAGTGCATGAGGACGGTATCGATCCGAAGATCACGACCCGAAGGTCTTTAGGTGATCACACAACTCATTATTATCCGAACCCAGCGTATGACGCTTCTGGGTATTTTAGGTGATCACACACTCATGGCAGGCACGCATTCTCGCACAATTTCCCCACATGCCTCACACTAGGCATACATAATGCGTGTCCATGTTATGCAATGCAATGCACCATGAGCACCAATGAAATTCAAACACTCAATATCACAACGCGTGCTCAATTGGCCCAATTAATACCGTGTGGCCCAATGTGCGATTCACAATTTAATAATTAATTGCAAGCCAAACAGTGGCCAGTCGCACTCCACAAAAATCAGCCACCTAACATGCGACATAACAGTACTCAATCAATCACAATTAAGCACGAATTACATACAATCAATCAACCCGGACATACCCGGCAATTCCACCAATGGGCTCCTAAATTGGCCAATCAATCCAATTACTCTCCCCAATAAATTCTCATTGATCCACTACATTTTTCCCGATAATAATTCTTACCAATCGGTACACTAATTCCTCTCAGCATGTACTAGTATTCCTAAACCAGTCCAGAAAAATGCACTATCAGTCCTAATCCGGGTTTAGGAATTTTACTCACTTAATCCAAGGTCACGACGACGAGGAACGGCGGCCGATCACTGGTGAACAGTGGAACCGGCGGCGGAGTTCCCGGCGACGGCGTACGGACGGCGGCCGGCGGTGTATGGACACGGCATACGGACGGGCGACGGTACGGACCTGTACGGACACCCCCCGTACGGACACTGTACGGACGGCGGGGGGACAGTGGCCGGCGAGGTGGCGGTGGCCGGCGCGACGGCCGTACGGACGGCGGACCGTACGGATGCTACAGTACCGATCGTACGGACAATGTACGGACGGGTGCGGTCAGCGTCGTACAGCGTGGCTGGACGGCTTGGTGGCGACAGAACGGCGATCCGTGCTCCGGCGCGGCGGCGGTGATGCTCCGGGAGAGAAAAGGGAGAGAAAGAGAGAGAGGGAGAGAGAGAAAGGGGTCGGACAGAGGCGAGGCTGAGGCTAGGGACTGAGGTGGTCGACGGCGGCGGCACTCCGGTGGTCGGTGGCTTGCTCCGGCAAGGCCTAGCCGAGAGAGAAGATGAGAGAAAGAGAGTGATCGGGAAGAGAGAGAGAGAGGTCTGACCGAGAGTAAGGGTGAGGAGAGAGAGAAACAGATTTAATTTGGTCAAATTTTAGGGTCTAGGGTGCCAATTGTCACAAATCTAGCCCAAAATGACCATTTTGCCCCTCATCCAATGGCCACCATTAAATCCTATCCAATAATTCAAGGGCATTTTGATCCTTTGCTGCAATAATTAGGATAAGTCCAATTTTAATTAATTTCCTTAATTATCCCCAAAAATTCGGAGCCAAAAATAGCCCGGGGGCAAAACCGTTATTTTTCCGGTCCCTGGGCGAAGTTCCATTTTTCGCCCGTACCAACCCTCCATGTGCGTGGCCAACATAATGTGTTGTCGGAATCGCGAATACAGCCCTTTAAGCCTTCGAAAATCGACTGCAAAGTTTCAGGTATAAAATAATATTATTTTTTCAATTTCTGTCGAAATTCCAATTTTTGGCCATAACGACTCTTGGTATGCGTGGCCACCCTAAAATGGCGTCGGCCTCGAAAAATAACCTCATTTGGTCTCTAAAAGCAACGCTGGCGTTCCGAGGGGCAAAATCGTAATTTTTCACCCTCGGACCGAATTTTCAATTTTTACTCGTACTAACTCCAAATGTGTGTGGCCAGCATAATATGACGTCAGATTCCCAAAAATAGTCTCTTAAGCCTTCGAAAATCGGCATCGAAATCCGGGCCCAATTCCGTGAACAAAACTCGCTAAACTTTCAATTTCATGGTCTCTCACTAACGGGCGGCTGTTTAGAGGTTATGCGTATCGACCAAGGGTTATCCGAGTCGTGACGGTTCTGATCATTGAGAGAATGAGAAATTGTCACTAATTCCAGAGGTCACGATCGTTCGGTTCACATTCAGGACTGGTGGGCCACGTGTACTTTCGGTCTTGCAGAATCACCTGCGTCCCTATTATACATCGTAGGCCTTAGCCAAACCCAATCCATTACCCTTTCCTACGATCGGCCCACGTTGGCTCAAAATATTCCCTCAGCGTCTCTCGTGATCGGTGTCCATTTCACGATAGGGTCCCCGGTCCACGTACCATTTTCTAGTTAGCCATACCCCATTGGTTAGTATACCGGGAGTCATCAGCTCCGGGCGAGATTTACTAAAATGAAATGCGAATTAATATCAGTTTTATTGATCTCGGAATTACATCGAAATTCGGGCTGTTACATAGGGTTAGAAGCCTAGATTGCATATCTATGTTGACTGCTAATCACTAATGATTGTGCACTCACTTGATCACCTCGCATGTTAGGGGAAAAGTCCTAAAATCAATCCAAATTGCTTGATAAATATTTTCTAAAATGAATAGGATAAAAAAGGTACCGAAAGGGCATTAGTTATTCAACTAGTGTAACCAAGTCTCCGAACTCATTTAATCTCTGATTTGCAGAAGTAAGCAATTCTCCCATTGTCTTGCTTGGGTGTCTAATCGACCCACCATAAACCGATTAGTGGCGACTCCTAAATAAAAATCACTTGCAGGTTAAAAACCTAAACCCTAAGTCGGGATATGGTATGGGCTTGGGAGAGCCCGAGTTAAGTCCCAAACTTAGACTTAGCGCGTACCAAGTGAGACCCTCGTTTTTGAAAATAAACCAGAGGTCAGTCGCGACAGATTGGCGACTCCGCTGG